TCCTCTCATAACTTTTATATTAAAGACCGGAAGTACTATAATCTAATAATAAACATAGGTATTTTAAAAATATTATGTCATATATATCATAATTAAGTAATTTAGTAATTTCACTAATCTTCTTATATTCGTCAACTAAAGTGTGCGTAATACATATATATAATAGATGGCATGCAAGAGAGGACAATTCACGGAGAGAGAACCATGCAATAACCTCAAAACATTCGCAAGGCGTCATCAGACTTCTCACACTTCATGAACACATGAATCGTTGAATTTTTTTTTCCCCATCAAATACTATGTATCAATAATTTCATTTTTGTAGAAGCCAAACGCCTAATCGGTTACCGTCTTAAGCACATGATTGTGCAGGGCATGAGTAAGACTTGCACTACTTCCACATACGAACAAAGCAAAGCGAAGTAAGAAACACATGAATACCTTTACCCAGACTAAGAAACCAAATCAACAAGCATACAATCAAAATTGGGTTTATCAATTCAAACTTTATCATATAAATCACACAAGCAACGCTTGCTGTCTTAAAAAGGCATTGCCATGTATAACCAGATTTCCTCCCTTGGTCATTAATCTCCCACTCGACTGGGAAGACAAGTTTGCATCATAAAATGCCTTTATACGAGGGATGGTTAATGTTATATTGCTACTCTATTGCTTGAGAAAATAACCAAGTCATGAAGAAAAATATATATTTTGCTGACTTAATGCGCAATGCATAAGAACCAAGATAGGGCAAAAGGCAAAACCTCCCGAACACAAGTTGGCGACCCAGCACGTTATACATCCTCCGGCCAGGATATGATCGAACATATAGATTAATTAAAGTTATGAATCCTCTTTGCAGAGATGAGGGTATTTTGGAGAAGCATAGCTATGGTCATAGGACCAACTCCTCCAGGAACTGGGGTAATAGCTGAGGCTACTTTGCAGGCTTCTTCATAGCAAACATCTCCAACCAACCTGTAACCTCGAGGGCTATTTGGATCCTGTCACAAACACCCAGTAGAACATTTAAATAACTAATTTTAAGCATTAAGCCATTAACCACGTGCTTCATCCTTGAAGACCCAGTACCAACCTAAGTAGCCCGCTAATTGTGCATTAGAAACCCATTAATATTAGTCTACTTACATCTACTGGGTTGATTCCAACGTCAATAATAACCGCACCCGGTTTAATCCAGTTTCCCCTCACCATGTTTGGCTGTCCAACAGCAGAGATTATTATATCTGCCTGTCTGGTGATCTCCTCAGGATTATTGGTTCTGGAGTGGACAACACTGACGGTAGCATCTTCCCTCTATTAACACGAAATACAGAGACAGGGGAATATGTAAATATGAAACAAAGAAGAAATAAATGAACAGTTACATTCAATAAAAAGTTTGCTGTGTGTACAGAATAAAAATTTAAATTTGAACCAATGATATATTACTTGGAGTAAGAGAGCAGCAGGCATTCCTACAATATTGCTCCGACCAATCACAACAGCTCTCTTTCCTTTCATAGAAACACCATATCTGTGCAATAGCTCCATGCATCCCTTGGGTGTACATGGAACAAACAGGGGTTCTCTACCACGCATGGCAAGGCGGCCAATATTTAGTGGGTGAAAACCATCCACATCCTTCTCAATTCTAACGGCATTCAAGACATTCTGCTCATTTATATGCTGTCACAAGATTGAGTTAAAAAATGAGTCCAAATTCCGCACAGAAGTTACAGAGAAGGTCCATGAATCACATAAAGGATACAATTCCTTTTCTTCATTTCAAAATTTCAACATATGTTACATTGAAGTTGAGATGAAAGATAGGTATGACACATCACAGAATCAAGGGAAGGAAAAAGTAGTTGAATGGATCAAGAAATTCCATTTGCTCCATAAACCGCTTCAATAAATTGTCTGAATTGAACTACCAGCACTATTTGAAGCAAAAATAAGGCAACTATAATTTTAGCCAATAAAACAGTCCTTAAGTTAAACTATTAAATAATTTATCCATGGAAAAAATTGAATGCAGTTCCCTAATTACAAACTGAAAGATACGGCTAAAAGTAAAACTCTCATCAAAGCATAATTCAACTGAAAAACAAATGAAACCAAAGATCTAGATGCATACCGAAGGTAAAGGTAACTGAACAAGAATTCCGTGAACTGAGGGATCATCATTGAAGCCTGAAATATGTGTTAGCACTTCTTGGTCTGTTGTATCCTCAGGCAAATGAACTTCAAAAGAATTTATTCCCACAGATTCACAAGCCTTCTTCTTATTCCGCACATAAGTTGCAGAGTCCTTTCTTTCTCCAACAAGGATTACAGCTAACCCCGGAATCACACCAATGGCTTCTTTCATCCTGGAAACTTCATCTGTTATTTCATCTCTGATTTGCTTTGCCAGTGCTTTCCCATCAATCACCTCGGCTGAAGCCTCAGTAGCCATGGCAGCTGAGCATAATGCAGTATGAAAATGTACGAAATGAGACTAGTAAAACAAGACTGGTGCCACAGAATGCCAAGGAAAAAACCACTGGAGTGCATGTGCATCAGTGGGTGCATAGGCACACATACATGAGCATTAGAATTCCAAAATAAATATGTCTCGGGTCATTTAAGAATCTCTTCCACAACCAAATTTTCAATATTCATCTGTTAAACCAGCCTAATGCCTCAGATTCTTCATTATACCAGTCATCATGTTAAACTAGATCATGTACCAGGAAGGTAAAACACATCTTAAATGAATATTGAACTCTGCAAATTCATGAATACAGTACTCCAAATACACTCCATAGCTTGTGTGCATCTTAATTTTGAAGAATTGTAATATCAAAAGTCCCAAAATTAATCATTAAGAGAAAACATAAAAATTTGACAAAATAATAATAAGAAATGCAAATTAACTTATTTTAGTTGATAAAACCCCCAAAAGATACAAAATAAGACGGTAAAATAAGGATGTATCACATCTACAAACCATAAATGATCACTACTTGAATAGCAAAAGAGATTTAAGACCATTTCTGGTCTTGAAGCAAATCAACATTACACTTTCTAGTTTCAGGAGAGCAAGTATCACAAGTTTTGCAGCAATTAGAAACTAACACCAATATATAAAACATAAATCTTTTTTAACACGATCGAGATATCAGCATGGTTTGAGCTTGGGCGTTCTTATCGACAGAACAGCAATTTAGCCAAACAAAAGGGGAAAAAAAATTCGGCCTTAGCGCTGACTTTACAGTGGATAATAAAATCATTCAAAAAGAAAAACATCTAACTTAAATATTATACGAGGAGGAAAGCGCTCGAACCCGTCACAACTCTCGACTAAGAGCTCGTAAATGCTAAATGGGGTAGAATTCAGAATAGGAAAGCACCATTCTGGGCACTTCATAAGACCACAAAGAGACTGAATTTCACAAAAAATAAAAATAAAATAAAGCTGCAGTATGACAGAAAGCACACAAGAAGAGCAGGATTTAAATACCGGTGGGAACCACAGGAGATGTAGAAAAAGGAGAAGAGCGAAGGGCGAAATAGCGAGGAGAGGGGGAGGAGTATGCAGGAACCATACGGAGCACGCGGCGGGGCGAAAAAGCGTCAGTCCTGAGGCGAACAGGGAGGAGACGAGCGGCGGCAGAGGAAGGAGAGAGTCCGTGGCTACCATTGAAGCCATTGGATGACTCCTCATACGGCGTCTCAGAAATCTGAACGTTGTGCCGTTGTTGGCGGGGTTTTAGAAGATGACGGCGAAGAGCTCAATGAACCAACGGAGGCCGTGATGCTCTTCGCCGAGTGGTCACGTTCGCGTACATGGAATATGGAATCAGCGATTTTGGCCCGTCCAAAAATTTAACTGATTTTCTTTTTAGATTTAAAGGTCGAACTACAGCTATAATAGTATGCGCGAAGTGGCACGGACTACGGAGCATTGCGATTGTAGATATTGATCGTTCTTTCATGGTAAAAAAAAAATCGTCATTTCATTGAGATTTTATAGGGATAAATTTATATATTTTTACCGAGGTCCAAAAGAAAAATCAACACAAATTTGTTGATGTTTGTTATTACTTGCAGTTTTTAATATAAAAACTAGTTAATTAATTTAAATAGATTAAAAAAATTAATTAAATCAATTATTTGTAATAAATAAGTATTGTATTCTTTAAAATATTCTTATCAATCATATCTATTAACTAGAACTGTCATTTAATAAAATATTTAATATATACAATTACTATAAGAATTATTTTAAAAAAATTGATAAATAAGAGAGAAAATGAATTAAAATATCATATTTAGAACCACATTAAATGTCAAACTAACTTTTATTAAGAACTAGAACCAGTATAATTGTTTTTAAGTATGATTAACATCGATCTGACAAGTCATGCAAACAATATCAACACAAATGTGCGCTGCAACAATAATACATTAATAAGACCATAACTATAGAAGTGAGGTCGACGATATCAAATCTTATATAGTACAACCAAGGATATCATGCTTCTGAGGCCATCAGTTTGAGGGATGCGACTTTCATGAACGTTAGGGCCAGTCAAGCATGGTTACGATTCGGCGGCAGGTTGCTTGCACCTGCGACCTGAAAGCGCAGCTATAGATTTATTTGGAAGGACCATTTTCCTGTCTTTTGTTTTTACACTTTCAAGCACTTCTTGGCAGACAAAATTTCAAGCATTGCTTGCGCTTGATGAGCTCTTGTTGTAATGGACATTCAAACATCAAGCACGTAGGAAAAGGCGAAAAAATTTACATACCAACAGTACATCAACAGTTATGCCCTTCTAGGTAAGGAGAGCCAAAATTTTTCTAACAATGTAAATGACCAAAAAAAAAAAAAACAAGAACACTTCAGAATTTTATATGCAGATGTATTTCTGTACACATTTGATGGAATTCCTAGTCAACTAGTTTTCACAATTATTTTCCTTTTCCTATCCTTTTAAAAAAAAAAAAAAAATTCTATCAAAAGGCAATCTTCATATTGCCAATGTCCCTTCGGAGATTTGGTTGTCCTCCAATGAATCTAAGGATTGAGATTTGGATTTGCTCGCTATTCGGTTAAATCCATAGCCAAGAGAACTGCCACTTGTTTCACACAGCTGTTGCATAAACCAAAAAGAACAGATATCAATATTCTGACGTCCATTAAATAGTAACGCAGAGAACCAGCATTGACATAACCCAACAGTCATATGACTCGCCCCACGCCTCTCTCTATGCTTGTGATTTATAAATACATACCTCAGCAAGCTCAGCTAGATGCCGGGATCTGAATTCATTTATAGCTGATGCAATCTCTGACGTGGGAAGTTTAGCCTGAAGAGATGAGGTTTAGAGAACAAACATTAATTCACCCCCATACTATATGTAGCATTGCGTCACTATGTACTAAACTACCCAATCTTGGAAACCTCTTGCATTCAACGTCACAATTCTGGCAACGCCTAACGTAAACAATCTTTAGCCATTTTCATTTCATCTTTTTATTCTCCTCGTGTTTTGGAACAGCTAGTGTCTTCAATGAGATATTCAATCAAAACTTACAATGAAGTATGCATTAAAAAACAAATTCTCATAATCAGAAAAACCCAAAACTTTAAATAATTTATAAGCGGGCAAGTTATATAACACTTGCACCTGTTAGCACGCTATACAAGACCTTTTTTACCAGAAGCTATACAAGACTGAATCAGACAGTTTTATACAATCTATCTTTATAAAGTGTTTGACACAAAATCAGTTTCCATGACATGAGTTAGGACACTAAAGATGTGTATAGGACACTAAAGCTGTCCCTGCACACATCGATTAGTTTACTGCACCCCAAGGAAGTGGAAAAGGCTTTGGAAAGGAATCATACAGAAGGTATTTAAAATAACAACACGCCATTCAAAGCTTTGGCTTGATGGTGACCGAATTTTAGTATCACCCATCAAGTCACAAGCTCAAATTGGCACTCAGTTGAACCGAAATAATAATGGTAATAATTCTACAGTTGCCCTCACTCACCATCATATCATGGCATTCCATTAAGGCAGATGGATAGGCACAAAAGTGGCCTCCACTAAAGCAGCTGCTATTGCTTGTGCTATAGCATCAATGTATTTTTTTTTAAATATCATGTAAAAAAGATGTGTGTTCTAATAGTTGAGTTTTTATATTACTTAACCTCATAATCCATTGATAGGCACATGATACTAATGAAATTCTTATTGGCATGCCATATAGGTCCTCCAGAGACAGATTTCAATTTTAGCAAGAAGAGCAAATAAGCATTGATCAAAATCAATTATGCCAATTAATAACACAAAAGAATCAATAAAATGTAAATTGATAAAAGTCAAAAGATTTTTCGTTAAGCCAACCATAAATACACTCAAATATAGATATTGTAGTCAAAGCACGTTGATTTACCTGAGCAAGTACAGCAGCTGCTAGCTGAAGACTTGGTTCCAGGGTCTCCGGTACAACCTGCAAATGCAAGTGACAGGCAGGGGATACATAATTTAGAGTAATTATTTCAGTTATAGCCACATGCTTCTCATTTTGCTGAAGATATATTAATTATAGACACAAAACCAATATACTTATTGCTTCAAATTATAAAGTAATCGGAGCAAGAAATACTAAAGGAGGTATCAGATATTACAGCAGTAGCTCCAGCCTTTTCTAAATTCAAGCCATGATCAACATCATGAGCTCGAACGAAAGTCTTTATATTTGGGAAGTATTTGCTCAGAGCCCAAACTGTTCGATAATTTGCACCAGGAGAATCTAGAGTTACTGCTGCAGCACACGCTCTTTCAGCCCCATCTTGTGTAGGACCTAGTAATGCAATAAAAAGCAAATCAGATAATGGACATGAATGTGGTCTTAAGTGCTGAAGTCAAGCGCACTACCTCACGACTACCGGCATCTCCAAAGTATACAGGGAGATCCAGAGCACGACCAACTGCCACTCTATCACTGAAGATGTTTAACGAAGATGGAAAGGGTTAAATCATCAACAGCTATTTTCCAACTCCATCCAAAATTGAATACAGAATATTAATTTACACTTCACACATCTTAAAAAAGGGGATGGGAGGAAGCTAAACAAAGAATCCGTAGAAACATTTAAATATTGCCCATCTTTGTCTCCAAAGGCTACTGTCACATAACTAGAAACCCAAACTCTTAATGCATAGACAATACAGTTCATCCAACTATCAGTTGCATATGAAAGCCAAACTAAATAATCTTCGACTTAAGATTTTAATGCTTCATAAAATCAGCAGCAGATGAACAATCAAACATGATATTTGAACACATCTAGATGAAAGTCAAAAGTGTTATGCGTTTTTGTTTCTCATTTTTCTGTAGAAATAACATATAAACTACGTTCATCTTAAAGAAGTGTGAGACGAAATGATAAAGTTTCACTTGGCTTATCAAGTTACCTTCTCACGTCTAGAGCAACAAAAGGGATCAGTCGCTCAGAAAGAAGTTGAGCAATGATCTGGTAACAGCATAAGTATAAATTGTTATGCCTAGGTATTTTTATTTAAATTAATAGAACAATCAAACGAACATTAGAAAGAACAACTTACCTGGCCAACTCGTCAAATCCACAAATAATGATGTGATCTTGCAAATCATCCGTCTGTAAAAGTTGTCATCCACAATGCAAACTAAATATCATGCCAACTCTAAATCAAAGTTAAATAACAAATGAATATTGATTGTGAGTTTACATAATTAAATTTCTACAACCACAGGTATTTGTCAAATAAATAAACTGTGATATAGAATTTCCAGTCAACTGACAGCAAACAGGTTGATAATCTGATATAGAAGGAGCACAAATCATGCAAAGATTCATATACAGCGAACAAATGTCCCAGCCAATCAAAATGGCAAGGAACAAAAAAAGGATCGGATACTAAACCGTTGAGGTAGTGGTTTAAGGATCAGTGGATCAGACCAGGGTCAACTCGAAATCAAAACCGATCATATTAAATATATAATTTAATTAAAAATAACAAAATATAACAATATTAATAATCACTAATAACAAATATAAAGAAATACAACAATAGTTTTTGATTGTAACATAACAAAGAACAATAACATTGAGAATTTTGATCTTTAAGATTCCTCAATAACTAAATTAATAATTATTGATACCAAAATCATCACCAAATTCATTCAAATCTATAGTAACTAAGATATTAGGAGCTGAATGAGAAAAAATAAGGTCAAGACATCATAATTATCCAAACCAGTTCACACCGGTTTTTGTTGATTTTCACTGGTTCATAACGGTTTGACCGGTTCGATCTTTAGCCGGTTTAGCACTTGAACCAACCAGATCACTAGCCGGTTCACCAGTTTTCCAGTTGTACCGGCCGGTTCGATCTGGTTTTTCTCTTCCATGCAAAGGGGAATAAAGGATATAAGTTGTTAGATTTAAGTTGCACCTCTAAGTGATTAACAAATTTATCCTTTTATTAACAAAGTACTGCCCAGAAACTAGTGTAGAATATGATTATTGTATTAATTTATGATAGATTTGCAATTTCACTTCAGCACTATTTATTGGCAATTTGGGATGACCTTTAGTTTGGCCTTGAGATATTGTATACTAGTAGGATA